TCTAACTGGAACCTTCCTTTACACGCTTGAGCTCAGTCGGAGATCCCCACTGGGCTATGTTGGTCTTCTGCCACATCCGCTCAGCTTTCCGCACATGAAATGGAGCGTTCCTGTGCTTGGAAGAGGTTATGCTCCAACACGTAGTAGTAGATCAGCAGGCTGCAGTAGAAGACATTTTCAATTTTTATTTACAAAGCTGTGCAGAGATACCTGAATATGGGGGTGAAGGGAACGTGCTGCTGGGAAAAAAAAAACTGCTGGGCTTTATCAGTAGGAAGCTTGTGTTTTTCTAGCCAGACTGGTTTTGTAGAAAAAATGCCTTTTCTATTCAGGTTCCCTTAGAGGCGTTATGGCAACTCTAGCATGGCTTACTGTTAAAATACCTTTCTTGGATATTTTTAACCTCTTTTCAAGCCACTGTATGCTGTTATAAAGAGCAGAGTTTGGGTATGGGTCAATTGAAGACTGAGAGATGGTGATCTACTGTCCTGCTCCCTCTCTTGGCTGACCCAGTGTTTCCCCAAATAATTTTTCTTGGTTTTGCCCGGAACAGTTTACTTTGCTGTATTAAATGTGATGTTTTTAGTTGGAAGCCTCTGACAGCCGGTTTCACTACAGCTAAATGTTGCCAATGTGGGCTTTCACTGCAAGCAAGCTGGTGTTCTTTTTTTAAACTTACAATAGTATGTTCATGTCAAATGATTTGTTGTGCCAAATTATGAAGGTGTCACTTAGCACAACCCTCATCACAATGAGATCTGAAAGGCGTGCTAGTAAAGCACACATTTTGAGAAATCCATGAAATATTTTCTGTGCTTTTTACCACTTGGAATCCTTCTGCAAAATGTTGTTTTTGGTCTTGAGTGAGAAGGGAGGAAAGGAAATCAGGAGCTCCATCAAAGAGAAGAAAGAAAGAAAGTAGTCAGAATGACAAAGCAGACAAGGACAGATCCTGGGGGAAGGCAGGTATACTCATTAATTGTATTTACATTTCAAAGACGAGTTAACTGCGGTATTCTCAATCATACCCTACACTTGGGTTCCCTGCCACACACCATGAATAAGAAATGTGTTTTGGAGGATAGAGTAAGTGACCCAATAGGCTTCTTCCACTTTAATTTCGTAGGCAATTTTAATTTGAGAGGTCAGTACAAATGCCTATGGTAAGTGACAATTTTAAGCCACTAATTACTAATTAAGACAGAAGGCAAGATGCTGGCTAAGGCACTTTCAAATAGATCACAGATAACCTTGCAGGAGCTGATTAACTCAAACAGAACACCTCCTTAGGTGATAGCTACCAAATGATAGTTGGAGCAATTTTTAAAATTAAAAAGGATGAGAGAAAAGGATTTATGAAACTCTTGGCTGAGTTTTCTCTGGAGAAAGAATTTTGATAATAAGTGAGATTAGCTGTTTGCCAATTAGCAGACAATTAGAAGAAAGACATTTACCCAGTGGGCAAAAATCTTTTAGGATAGACTCAAACTCATCAAACCTGTTTACGCCGAAGGAGGATAAACAGTGCTGCGCTCACGATGTCTTTACTCTGGTGATGTGAGCATCACCGGCTGCCGCGACCATGCCAACTTCACGGGAGCTGCGTGGGACTCAGTGTGATGGTGCTTAACGTGGCAAGCACAGAACAGAGGACCCCAAGCTGTGCTCGTGGATCCGGGGATGGCTGTGGATGATTTCCCAGGGATCCACAAAAGAATTAGGAACAGTACAGCAACTCTCTGTGGAGAAAATTGAGAAATCCCGACACCGGGGAATTTTTAGGGACCTGCAAATCAGAAAAAGCGAGAAGACATTGGCTTTATTAATATTGGTATCTGGAAAGGTGATCATCATTGGTAGATCAGAGACAGTGTCAGACATTGGAAGCTTTTCTGAAGGTGTCCCTTGGACAGGTGAGGCCTCAAATGACCATAAATTCAGAGTGGCAGGTGCTGGAAAGAAGAGCTGAGCTAGGCTGCTGCTTTTTCTCTTTTTTCTCCCAGCTTAACAATGAATTTTTCCACGATTCCTGCAAAATAGGAATATGTAGGCAGCATTGCTTGGCCAAAAGGTAGAGTAGGGGACAAATCTTTCTGATTTTACTGTTGTTCATGCTCCTTTTTTCCATCCTCAGAACTTAAAAGATTCCTAGGAAGCATCCGTCTCTCCTGACCGAAATATCCAAGAATCAGTGTTTAAGGCTGAGCTCCTCTCTAAGCTCCTTCCACAAGCAATGGAAAGAGATGAGGAGGAGCTGAACATGAGCTCTCTAAACCCAACAGCTCCTCAAGGTGCATGTCATGGTTCATCCTCTAAAGGAGCTATTTCTTGCCGTTAACTCCACAGGCAATACGGAGCACAAAGCTGGACTTGTATACAGATCTACAATCTAGATACCTAAATGAGACCAGAAAAATTGTACCATTCTATTCTGAAATCCAGCTCAGAACAGCAAAGAGGACAAGAGGATAACAGATTAGGACGAAGAACCGCTCAGGAGTGCAGAGTGTTTCCCTGCTATATCCCTTGGCACGAGGTAGCGCCTACCGTGAGGACAAGAGACACGGACCGTGATGGAGAAATGAAGGAATGAACTCAGTCCTGGTTTTGCTACTGGCATCCTGATCAAAACAAGAATCTCAAATAGAGCTTATCACGTTATAACATTTGTGACTTACATAAATGTAGGAAAATATTAATACATGATCCTTCTAACCAAATCCGTGTTTCTACTTTCTCTCTCTGCGTAGTCAGGACCCTGTCCTGGGCCAGCTTCTTTTGCAAGAGGCTGAATTTATTCTGATCCCAGGGAGCACTCGACACCCTCCAGATGCAACCATCATGAGTGGAAGCCACCCGGTGTGGAAGCAGGTCTAACCTAGGCCTTAGGCAGCACTTTGCTACACAAGAAGTGGGCCCTTGCAGATTGTTTCATTCAAAACAAAGACGTTAACTCCTTGTTGAAGGGGAGGGTTGTGTTTAGAGCCACTGACAGTTGTTCAGAGATTAAAATTCCTTCCAGTTAAGCTAGTACTGTCCTGTGACAAGGATCTTGTTTGGGAATGCCTGACCCAGAGCAGGCAGACCAGGGGTATCAGCATTAGGAGAAATGTCCTAAGAAATGACTTGGTGTACCCCGGGGAAGAACTGGAGCTGATGAGCACCTTTCATTCAGGGAATGCTGGAGCAGGCTAAAACCTTCCAAGAGGACCAGTCGGGTTCAGTTAAAATAGCTCTGTTTATTTCCAGGAAAACTGAACGTCGGATGTGCTTGAGGGCAAGGACTGGCAGCTATGATCAAAGGCATTTTTCTGGTGCATGGTGTGGGTTAACAGCCTGTTGAACTGTAGGAGCAGACGCGGAGAGGCTCAGAGCTGCGGCTGCTGCTCAGCGCAACCTGAAGCTGCACTGAAAAATAGGGAGATGCTGTCAAGTCCTTCTGGCAACGGAACAAGTGCAAGGAATGAAGGGAACAGTGCTGTCAGAGCCAAACGGCAGCAACGTTTTGTGACTGAGAATTATTTTCTTCACAATACTAACATTTAGGGGAAAAAAAGGAACATCGCAGAGGGAGTCATTACAGATGGAGGAGACTGATTAGCCCCTCTAGCTTTTCCACCTGAAAATACAAGATGTACTATGATACTGCCGATGTGAACTCCATGGGAGGAAGTAAAGGAAATGTGGTTACGGATATTATAACCAAATTGAATTAAAGCTGCATTAAAAAACTCAGATTACGGTTCCATGCCACGTTGGAAAACACGATATGCATCTGTTAGTGACAGACATGTAAAGAACATCCAGGGGCTTATTTCTAAGAAAACAAATTTGATCTCTGACTTGCTGATTCACAAACCCACAGAAACAAAGGCAGGAAGCAAAATTACAGACAGACCTCCCCAGCACATAAATCAGCAGCAGCAAAGCCGCCGTGTTGCTTGGGATTTTTGTTTGGTTTTCTTCCAAATATTTACTCTACATTGCAACCTTAAGCAAAGTTACTTACCTCAGTTTCTTTATCTATAAAAATTGGGTAATGAATCTGATCTTCTCTGCAAAAGGCAAAGCTGTACATAAAAGCATTGGTATTGCACGCTGATGTCAATGAATATTTTCTCAGTTGACTAACGGTCACTGGAACACTGTACAGATTTATTAAACCTGAGTTATTAAATCCTTCTGACTCACCCTAGTTTTGCTGACAGGGAGAAAGAGCAATCCAGGCTTAAGCCTACATGTCAAGCTCACTTTTCAAACTATTTTTGGAGGGGTCATGCAGTGGCATATATGGAGGTCAATATCTTTTTGCTTTCTTGGCTGTGAGTGCTACAAGGCAATGAAAAAGATCTCTAACTGTGACAGCGTCATGAGATACTGTCTCTGCCATGAGGGCTCTATACACCCAATAATTCTCATAAAAAACTCTCTGGCTGGTATGATTAGAAGTATCACATAGGCTGACAAAGTGAACTGTAATAAAATAGTGCGTCTTTCAATTACTTCCCGCATTACGTTACATCAAGTGGCAAAGCACAATAAACTTTAAAAGAGAAAACTGGCGTGAATGATTATATAGCTATAAATGAATAACAAAGACTTTTAATGCACATGTGAAAAATAATCCAGCCATCACCTTCCAACTGTATTTTACCTGTTTTCAAGCAACAAAACACAGCTGGCAGCGGTTTATGTAAAGGGGTCAGTGTGCTAAAATGTGCTCAGTCTGAAATAATACCTCTAGAAACAAAAATTTCAAGAGAGTTATATTTTAAGAACAAAAATCAAAGAAAACAATGTCACAGAACCTGAGAGTTTCAAAGCAGTCTCCTCCTCATAAGTTCCCATCTCCCCCAAAACAAACCCAAGGCTACAAAAATATTCAGGAAAGATTTTCAAAGGCGCTGAGCTTTCAGAAGGAAGAAAGCCCCTAAGTATTCTTTGTGCATTTCAATAAGGAAATTTCCCCTAGATCTTCCACACTCCAGTCTTTTCTACGATCACGCACCAAAGTATGAATGAGTAATATGTAGCTCAGGAATATGATGCTCTATCACCAACTCCCATTCCTTAAAACCGCGGTAGTAGGTCTTCAGCCAGGCCCCACCAGGACCCGTCCGCTGCTGGCTCTGCGTGGTCAAGGTGCCCTCATTGACTGCTTTCTGCAGAGAAAAACCCATTCTCCTTTTGTTCGGAGGTTGGCAGAAAGCTCTTTGTTTTGGGTGACGGTCTATTTTAAGTTGTTGTCTGACAGCTAATTCTTTCTGATGTGAAATCAGGTCAGGTAAACAGACTCCGCTGCAATCAGGAAGAGTAGCTGTACAGTTGCTTGCCCTAATTTTGAATAGCAACTTCTGAAAGCCTTCGAGCTTCAGCACGGGTTTAACAGCCACTTCAAAAGCTGTTGTATTTTCAAAACTCGGTTTGCAATTCAGAAAAAAGTCAGAAGCGCGTTTCAGAAAGCCACGCGCTCTGTTTTTTTTCAACTTTTTATTCTCTGTTTAATTCATTCAGCTGAAGGCCGTAATTGCAGTTATCTAATGAGCTCTTCTTGGTGGCACTGATCACCCACATTTAACACTGAGCCAAGTGATCCAGAGAAAAGAGACCATCTCAGAGATTTCTCTAACACCGTGCACGGTGCTTTTTTCTCCCCTCCACAGGACGAGCTCCTTGCTGTCCTGCATACCTCTGAAGTCCCGTCCGACTTATGAGAGGGCTGGTTCAAAGCCAGCTCTTTGTCCTTGTGAAGAATTGATTTTTGTACTCCACATGAGCAAGGCTCACCTGAGGAGCAGGAAGGAGGTGAAGGATTCCAAGGAACAAAGACATCTTGCTTTTCAAATCTTCTCCGTTTTTGCTCCATTGCCCACATATATATCATTATCTGGCTTCCTACTCTCAAGATGCGAGCCATCTCTTTTATTGCTCGCATGAGCCTCTCTTCCATCGAAAAATGGTGAATTGCTAGAACAGAACAGATAAGGTGAACAGGTATCCCTTGAGGCACTAATGAATACAGAGTATAAGGACAGGGACTGGCTCTGACACACTGGCAGCTGGTGGTTTTGCACCACAGGAATACATCATTTATCTTCCATTGTGCTACGTGTCATTGTACTATCTCTAACATCTCTTACTCTAAAGAGTTCATAACACACTGACTTATTTTAAAAGCACAGCAGAATTGAGAAACGTTGAAACAAGTGACATCTTTCAGATCGGCAATAAACAACACAACAGTCTTGTTTTCGCAATGAAAGGTGATCGCTTGGGGAGTGGCAAAGCAACCTGGCCCTTTTTTGTCCTCACCTAATGCTCACCTGTAGCCCGAAAGAAGCACTTCTGAAAGACTGTGGCCATAGATGGTCCTTTCAACAGCCGTGCTAGAGATCCTGCTAACGATACCCATTAAAAAAGGACTAGGTTAAAACTGCCTGCCTATTTCTCCTCCGTTATTGACAGACGTCAGTAACAAAGCAGAAAAAAATGAAGTCATTGTCAGCCTGGGATACATTTAAATCATCAACATATGTCTGAGAGACACTTAGCCAACTGGAATTTATCTACTTCTGCCATTAACCAATAGATATCATGACAACAAATAATTAGATAATCCCACTCTTTCTTGATAACGCCCCACACTACACAAACACGCGTGATGGGGAGAACGCCTCATCATTACAATGGTGAAACTCAAGCAGCACAGCTTCGCTTGAGTCAGAACTGGGTTTAAATTTGACTCCCATTTCAATAAAAATTTTTGCCCTGAAAAGGGCAATTGGTCTCAGGCTTTGGCAAGAATTTGCCAAACGGCAACTCTGCAGGTTGGCTCCGGCCCTCAGAGCAATTCACAACAGACGTCGCGGTTGATTACGTCTTGGTGCGCATCGGGGACTTCAGCAATGTCTCAGCTACATCAAATGAATGTTACCTTAGAAATAAGAATAGGAAACGATCCTGGAATAGTGCTGGAAAAGAAACGGCATATATTACAGATGCTGAGAATGAAAAGCAATAGAATTAGTGATATTTATCCAACCTTATATTTTCCTCAGTGAAAATGCCTGTGCCAGTTTGAGCATGTATTTCTACACATACCACTTTAGGTTACAATGATAAACCAGTTTTTGATTAAGCTGTGTTGGTTTCCACAGAAAAATAACAGATCTTTCAAGGAAACCAAAAAAAAAAAGGTGCAAGCTTTCGATTCTTTCTAGAAACGTAAGTATAGAAAATGCTAGCAGGAGCTCTGTATGTGCAGCCTCTCCGTGTCTGTCAGGGCGACCATTCGCCATCAGATCCATTTTGCCTCAGAAAAAGAGACACTTTACAATTAAAAGAATAACAGCATGCAATCCAGCTGAGATAGGAAAACACTCTCCCTGCAATGAATGATGCATTCAGAGCCTCGGCGGCAATGTGAGGATCAAAAGGCAAGCTTTGAAGAAATAGAGTCTTTTAACATTTAGTTATTCAGCTGCTCTGCCTGTAGGTTTCACTTGTTTGAGATGAACAGAAATCAATTCCAAAAGCTCAGGTCTTCTAGCACTGGTCGAAACGTTGACATTGAAACATTATGGTCTTTTTAATTAAAAAGGCATCAAGTATCATTTAAGAAATTACAGCACATTAATAAAATCTCACACTGAGCAAACCTTTAGTGTTGTCAAGATAAATTTGTCAGATAATTTTAAAAGCTAGGGGTGATGTTTTCCATTTAAAAATGCGTAACTCAAGGAAACGGAGCATCTGCATGGGGCAACATCACACTATCCTGAAATCACAGATTATCACGTGAATTATTGAACATGATTGTTTTTAATCAAAGCCAAACCTGAGGGCTCCAAGATCACCATGCAACCCCATTCACCTAAAGCAGGCGGCTTATAAAAAAATAATTCCTTTCTTTTCCTTGACATTAAATTCCTTGTATGTTGAAACTGTTTAAACTGAACAATCTGTGCTGTGCTGTGAAGGTGCCGTTTCAGAGGCGGAGTGGCTCAGGTTAGCTGGCAGTGAGGCACAAACCCTCACTGAGGGCCTGATTGCATCCCAGCAGCGACATGAGCCTGCTTCCCTCCCCTCCACTGGAAATGGTTCAGATCTGATTCTCCCGCCACTCCTCTCATACTGACGAGTAGATCGCACTGGGGGCAATATTTCGTAGAATCATAGAATCGTTATGGTTGGAAGAGACCTCCAAGATCATCAACCATATACCCAACGCCACCATGCCCACTAAACCATGTCTTGAAGTGCCCCGTCTAAACTTTTTTTAACATTTCATAGAATCATAGGATGGTTTGGGTGGAAGGAACCTTCAAAGACCACCTAGTCCAACCTCCTTGCCGTGGGCAGGGACACCTTCCGCTAGACGGAGTTGTCGAAGCCCCATCAAACCTGACCTTGAACAATTCCAATGATGGGCATCCACAGCTTCTCTGGGCAACCTGTACCACTGCCTCACCGCCCTCATTGTAAAAAATTTCTTCCTTATCTCTAGTCTAAATCTACCCTCTTTCAGTTTAAAACCATTGCTCCTGTTCTGTCGCTGCAGGCCCTGGTAAAAAGTCTCTCTCCAGCTTTCTTACAAATCCCCTTTAAGTACTGAAAGCCCAAATAAGGTCGCCCTGGTGTCCTTCAGTGCTACAATCTTTGGCCAGCTGTTAAACATATTTTAAGGTGATTTCCCAGCATCCAAACACTATAAAACAAGGGGCCAGATGCTTGAAAGTGCATTTGTCATAATGACTGGTACTTTAAATGAAAATTAGTTTTGTCCTAAATTAGAATAAATACAGACGCTTGCAGGTGGTGAAAACAAAATCAGGGCAGAGGAAACCCATCCTGGGTTGGAGCAAACATCCCTCCAGCACGGGGCTGTGACAGCAGTCAGTGCCAGATGTTTGGGAAAGAAAGAAGGGAAGATGTGATGCTCTCTTCCCTCGCCTCCTGCGGTTGGCAGCTGAAGAGCTTCTTCAGGCACAGGCTGGAGCTTGTATCTAATAACTAGTGATGGATCTGTCCTCCAAGGATGCTGTCTGGGACTCACGTGTACTTCTGATGATTACACAAATTCACATGTCAAAGGAATCTGCAATTTAATTACATATTTTTTAGAAAAATTGTTCCTTCTGTTTTAAAGCTTTCCCTGTGGTTCTCCTGTTGTAAGAAACCACAGAGATTTACTCCCTGTTCACTAATTTAATATCATTTGTGGGTTCCAGGATGCTATCTCTCTCTCCTTCAGGAGCAGTATGATGTATAGACTTCTTTTATGATGCTTTTATGATGATACTCTTCTTAGGTGAAGCGCCCTAGCCCATTAATCTATCCTCATAGATAAACAGTTTGCAACTTTGATCATTGTAAGGACCTTTACTAGTTTATCTATATCCTTCCAGAGATGGAGAACACCTGAATTTGATGCAATATTCAAGATATAGGTGCACCAGATATTTATCTTCTACCATTCTTCTGGATTTTCATTTTTGTTCTTAATATTTGAATACATTTTTGACCAGGTTTGAACAGAGAGCTAATATTTTTCAAGGAAATGAAAATGAGTCTGATAATGACTTCAATATGTCTTTCCTGGACAAGACTAGAGAGTACCACTGTGCCTGTACACTTAGTTATTTTTTTTCTATGCACATTACCTAGCATTCATCGACAAGTACTTCTCTGCAATTTTGCACTCAGTCGTTAGTTGCACGAGACTTGTTTTTGCAAGTCTTTGCAGTCAGTAATCCTCAATAATTCTATGTCACCACCAAACTTTATCACTAGCTTATTCATTTCATCTGTAGTTATAAAAAACATAGGAATCTGTTGAACAGTGGCCTTTTTATAGGTGCCACACACCTACGCTGAGCTTCCAACATTGACTCTTCCAGCACTTTCCACACTTGTCTGCTAACATTTTACCCTTCCAGCTTTCCCTTTCAATTTTCCTTAAGAGTTTTTTTCCTTTTTGGTAGTAAACTTTTATGCAGTGGATTTTTTAAAGCATGTTTGTTCCTAGCAGGAGGTTCGATTATGGTCACATTAAATTCAGTGACAGCATGTGGTTCTTGCACAATTACTTATTGATGCGGGCCTGATGCACCATTTCAGACTAATAAAAGTTGTTTCCCTTTTGTGGCTTCTCAGATTAATCTTTCCAAGAGGATTCGTGCCCCTGTGTATCATTTACACAACCTATGTATGGATAGTCGCGGTTTCTCGATATTGTGTTTTCTGCCCTTACAGCCCTCGCAATCTCTCTTAATAATCTGTGGTCATTTTCCCCAAATTTATCAGAGACTTAGTGATACGTCCTTATTATTATGCTGGTCTCCTCTGTAGCTGTCTACCTACTATCGCTTCTTCCAGAAGTTTATCCTCATGCTTTTTTCCACAGAAGAATGTTCCAGCTTTCTAGATGTTACACAACCCTTAAATTCACTACAAAAAGGGTTTTAATGAACATTATATCATTACCATACTAACGAACACCATGCCATGGTGATGAGGACAAGTAGAACCGCATTCAATTTTTTTAAACATCCAAACAAACCATTGCAAAAAAGAAATCTAAGGACAAAAATACTTGTTTGGGGTGAGCACAGGTGCTTGTCCAAAACCCCTGAGAGCTCTTTGCAGCAGCAAGGCCTTGCTTCATGGATTAACAGTTGTTATAAATCAAGCGTTCCTTTTCATTTTGGCCACACATTCCCCCAGTGTACCTAAAAGTCAATCCAAATTAATTTTGTGCCATGTACTCCTCATTCTCGCCACTTTTGTTTAAATTGAAGACTGAAAGATTTTCCATAACTGAAAGATACATAGTGCAATTTTAGATTTCAAAGGGAGGGGGTGAGGAGGAAAGGAGAACGTTTCAAAGATTCTTCTTCATTTCATGAGAATATAATTAATTGCTCCTTCTCTTAATTTAATACTGTGACTAATCCTACTAAAAGGGA